TAGAGTTGAAGAATGTAATCGCATTTACCATAACCACAAAAAGTATAAGATACCTAGGAAGAAATATAACCAAAGACCTCTACAAGGAAAACTATGAAAATATAAAAAAAAAAAAAGAAATAGAAAACAACATAAAAAAGTGGAAGGAGGGAACCAGCAGTTAGCGTAATGGCTATGTCGCTGGACTCCCACATGGTCGACCGCGGTTCGTGTCCCGGACCCGGTGGCTTAAAAAACTCACGCCGGGCGCGTGTGCGTGCGTGCCCAAGATCCCGAGAGGAGAATGGAGGAGAAGGGATTGCGGCGTGACCATCCCCCCTGGGGGGTGATTTCTCGCTTTCTGTCTCTATGTCTCTCTCTGTCTGTCTGGCAAGCGCACGCGCCCTACAATGAAAATCTCTCAAAAAAAAAAAAGTGGAAGGACATCCCATGTTCTTGGATTGGAAGAATTATTATAATAAAAATTGCAAGTCTTCCCAGATTAATCCACATATTTTGTGCAATCCCAATTAAATTATCAGAGACATTCTTCAGATTTAGAAAAGACTGTCATAGAATTTGTCTGGAATCATAAAAGATCCTGTATTGCCAAAGCAATCCTGTGCAAGCAGAGTGGAGTAGGAGGTACCTCTCTCCCTAACCCCAAAATATATTGCAAAGCTGTGATAATCAAAATAGCATGATACTGGCACAAAAACAGACATGAGGACCAATGGAACAGAATAGAGACACCAAAATAATCTCCAAAACATACAGCCAACTGATTCTTGACAAAGGGTACCAGCCAATCCAATGTTTTCAGGAAGAAAGGGCAATGTATTTTAGATTAAGAAAAACATGAAATACATGTAACATAAGATGCTGTTGAAAAATCACTGTTTTCTGTATGGCTGGAATTCAAAGCTAAATAAAGGTGGGAGACAAAGGTCATGATACACTGGTTAAATAAAACTGGAGCTCATAAGTCAAAGGGAAGCTACCATAAAGTTAAAATGGGAACAATCAGAAACATGGGAAAGTAAAAAGTGTTGTAGTTTTAGGATAGTAGAAACCTGGGAGCTCAGAATATCCACATAAATGAGATGTAAGAAACAAAGTTTGGAATGGCATCATGTATTCATATAGCTGTTCTCATCCAGTGCAGATTTCGTCAAACGTAGCTCTGAAACCAGGCCCAGACACCTTCTCCTTGAGTGAAAGGGAAGTCAATAACCTAGCTGAGTGCTTAAAAACAGCCTTAGAGGTGGAATGCAATAGCCATGGGAACTTAGTCCAAGAAATATTACTACCAGGCATCTAGGTTTCATGGGCTTCCCATAATATTTGGCCAAGTCTGACTGCTTTTTGCACAGTACCAACCACAGAGGCATGAGAACTTTCATCTTTGCTCCTCAGCCCCAGCATAGATTTCCTTTGTGCTAGCTATCAAAGTGGCTCGCCCAAACTTGAGCTACTTGGTGGATGTCAGCCCAATGCATTTCTTAGTTATGCACCCATCTCCGACCCCCTCACCTCTCACCATAGTTCCCAGTAACACTGTGATCCATGTGCTTCAGGGGCAGGTCCCAGTAACACTGCAATCCATGTGCTTCAGGGGCAGGTATTCTTTACTTCCTGGTCTCCCAAAATCCTATTCCTGTCACTCAAACCAATTTTCATTCCCTGACCTGCTCATAGCCCGTGCCAGGTAAAGCCATTACCCATTTCCCTTGGGCCTATTTCCCCTGTTTCTGACCTGATTTCCCACCTTATACTCTTATACATTGAATAAAATACCACTGTTAGTGCTAAATGGACTTGGCATGTATTAAAAAGGTTTCCACAGACTTCAGCCCTACCTCTATCTGACAACATGGTGAGAAAAACCATAATTCTTATCACAAGGCAAAGATTAAACCCTTTTGTGAGATCCAGGGTAGGAGAAGCCAAGCAGATACTAGTATTCCATATGCTGTGGAGGGGGGAAAGATACATTGGTGCATTTGGGGAGGACACTTCACTACATCTGTTACACGTTTGTTAAAAAAGAATTATTTTATTTAACTTTATTTATTTATTTTAAGTTGACAAGAGAGAAGAGACAGCGAGAGAAAGTGAGAAAGCAAGCCGCCAGGTCTAGGTCCTGAACCGTGGTTGGCCATATGGGAATCTAGCACCCTTAATCACCTTGCCACCTGCTGACCTAAATGACTCTAAGATTTTAAAATAGAAAACACTTGTCTGCAGAGCATAAACATTTTCTGTTCATCAAAAATATATCATGACAATTAGTGGGCACTTTACTCTTTCTAGACAGGAACAGTATTCAATTAATATTTAATATGGAAGACTGGATGCAGTATTACTACATTTAAGGCATACACTTAAAAAATCTCCTAGACTGGGAGAGCTTCTAAATACCCCCTTTCTTTTCCACCACTGTGTCCTCAATATTTAACACAACATATGATATAGAATACTTATTAGAAAAATATTTATTCAATGGATAAATGATAAAAAACAAAGTTAAATGAATAACAGAAACTATTTGAATGGAACTATTCATTAAATCAGTGGCCAAAAATGCCCAACGATAGTACATATTTAGAAGAAAATATTATTCCAGAACTTTCATTTTAGCGTAACTATCCTAAACTCAATCCTGTCCACGAATGTTTCACATAAATCAGTTTTGTCTGTTTATTCTTCAGTAACGCTCATCTCATCTCAGAGCTATTACATATTGCTTTGAAAATGTACAATACTCACTTTCATTCAGCAAATGTCTGTGGGATATATATTCCCCTCCAGGCACTATGTTAGAGAAGCAACATGGTGGGCAAGGCTGTGAGCCCGGGATTCTCACCACCTGGACTAGAATCCTGCTTTTCCACATGCTGGGCAACTTTGGACAAATTATTTACTTACCCTCCCCATGTCTGTTTTTGTTTCTGTAAAATGGGGTAATTGCAGGATGTACCCATTTGGCCATTTTGAGGATTTAGTGAATTGGTACATGCAAATATTTTAATAGTCCACAGTGTAATAGGTACTTAATAGATGATAGCTAAGTGCTGGGAATTTAGGAAGAACCAGAACATACAGGTTCTATGACTTTATAGAGCTTAATTTGACCTTCAGGATAATAGGAAAGCTAGTTATTGACATTTAGCATCTGTGTTCAATAGTTTCTTTTTCTTTTTCTTTTTCTTTTTTTTTTACACTTCAAAGGCACTAAAAATAGTTTTCAGATATAAAAGCCAAGGGATCGTGGAAAATGACTTCATTATAAAATTTAATAAGTATTTAGACGCAGTAAATCTTTGTACCAAGTAAATTTTGGCACACAAACATTAGGAAACATAAAAGAATACTGATCAATGTTCTCCGAGCAACTGGACCCATGTGGGAAAGGTTCTGAGCTGGTATTCTGGGACTTCCCTGAGCACACCAGGTATGCACATATCCATAATCCAGACCAGTTGAGACTGAGACTGGGCGTGAATTGTGATATAAAGAGCCTTTTAGAGATACTTCTTTCTCACTCTCTCAAGAAATAAAAAAATAAATGCAACAATATAAAGGTTAAGACAATAAAAAAAATGTATAATGAAGTTTTTCCTGTCGAAGAACAGGAAGACAATATGTCATTTGCTTTTTGTTCTTGGAGATAATGTTATTTAGTCATGAACTTGTGAATATGAGAAAATTAATCTTGAATAAAATGATTAATATATTAAGCTTCATATAACCTGAGATTTCTCTTCTTATGTGGTCAATTTCATCATTATCATTATCATTATCATTATAGTCCACAGTGCTGATATCTGTTTCTTTGCATTCCTCTGACTTGTCTAATAATTGTGAAATCTCTTCCTCTATTAGTTTTATTTGTCATTATAGGTAGAAAAAATCTGAAATCCTATTTGTGATCAAACGATGCTAAAAACAAACTGCAAAGTTACTGTATCTGGTCTTCTTTTATGCCTTATTGAAAGATGATGCAATGCTTTGGATAGTGCATTAAAAAACCTGATAGTTGACAGAATGGCCTTATCTGATGTTGATGCTCTGTGAAATTATTCATGATCAACAGTATAACACTTAAGTCCCTTGAAAATGACTTCTCTGGCCCTGAGTGCCTTGACAGCTCAGAGAAATACCAAAACCTATTTGATTATATCAGACAAGTTTCTGGATATTAGGGACTGTTTTTCTCTTAAACTTCTGTGGATAGTGGAGAACTTATGTTTGAGAATCTTATGAAAAGCAAAACCCTCCTCCAGAGAAAATTAAACCCAAACACCACATTTTACAATAAAATTCAAATAGTGGGGCTGGCCTTGTAGCCTAATGTTTAATGGAGCTGGATTTCATATGATGGTGAATGTGGCATGAAAACCACACTGAGCGCATGTGTGTGTGTGCTCCAAATCCCAACAGGATGGAAAAATAGAAGAGAGGAAATTGCAGGGAGACTATGCCCCATTGGAGGGTGCTTTCTCACTCTCTCTTTCTGTCTGTCTCTGGTGAGCACATCCACCCTCTGGCAATGAAAAAAATTCACATGGTGTTCAACATCCATTCCCATGGCATTGATGAACTTCTAGGGCAAAAGTAATACAGGTTATCAGCACATCGAAAGTGACAAATTTCACTACAGATTTTGAATGCATCAATATTTTTTTCTCTCTCATTC